TAAAAAGACCTCTTCTCATGGCTTGGCTTTGCACCTTATCAAATTCATTTTATATATACCTATTTAAAGTAAATAAAAATTATTTCCCCACTTCTCCCCCACAAAAATTTACCTAATGGACTGTGAGGTTAAAACACAAATTTGACATGTATTAAGAATTCCATAAACAAAACTATTACTTGTAGCTGAAACCTAAACATATGCCACAAACATAAATTGCGTAACCCTCTTTTAACTTTAGTCTATTTCCAGATAAAGGCTGAAGGGTATCATGAGTATATAAAATATTTTACAATTTTGACTGCAGAGAGCATTAACTATAAGTGTACTCCAGATACTATGCTTCTGTTGATATGGCCTAAGAATGCTTTCACTTTTTTAGTAGTCACATAGCATTCTTGGCACATATTAAGCTTCTGATCAGCTAACAACCCACAATCTTACACTGAAATCAAGAAGCACTGTGTTATTATCTGCCTCATTAGTAGTGCTATTCAAAATGAATATTAGTTTTAGTTTGCTATGGTTATTCTTCATAGAACTCATTCTAGTTTCCAGGCATTGCTGTTTTCTTTTCTAAATACTTACAATCAGATATGTAACTATTTGTTGTAGAATTTTTCTGGTAGGCAATGTGAAACTTATCAGCCTTTAGTTGTGGAAATCTGTCATTTATTTACCTTTCTGAAAACTGAAATGTCAGTCTCTGGTTTCTGGTTACCTTTCATGTGCTCCATAATTTTCACTCAATGATTAACCACAATAGCTCTAAATTATTTTAGAACTATAGAATTTTATTATTTTGGTCTTGGAGATCAATGTATTTTGATGTGTTCACAGGCCATCTTAATTTATTTCTTCATTTATCTTGGGCCTCACTCTTTTTAACCATTTCTGTTAATCTTTCTGCATGTCGAAGAGCCTTTTGAATGGCAAATAAGAAACAAATAAAATGGAAACTGGGATTCATCAACTTCTCTCTGTTAGGTTATTAAACAAGATAAAATATGTTAATGCACTTTGAAAATGGTAAACTCATATATAAATTTGAGCTAATATATAATTATTTCAGTTATTGCTGTTCTATTTTATTATTATAGTTGCAACATTTTCCCTAAGAAGTAGACTCACCATTTTCTTTAAACCTCAGAACTTTGAGCATAGTTGAAAAGCCCCTTTGATATTCTTTAAATGGCTTTCACAAGCCTCAAACACCTGGGCTTTATACTTCCTTGAAACTATTCTGAAAACATTGTATGACAATTTTACATGGGTCTCTGTTTCAGTGTCTTTATTATCTTTAAAACATCAGAGCTAAACCTAAAGCTCCTTATGAAACATACAATTTAACCTTCCCATCTCTCCACTCTCCAACACAACAAGACACCACTTTTCTATTTTGGGTTTGTTGGCAATGAGAATTATTTTTCTTAGATTTTCCTTTATTCTTCACAATCTATATTCTAAACATGGAATCATAATCATATATATTTTTTCCTTTTCCTTAAATATCTGAACTCTATTGAGATCTCCAGGAGAGCAGATAATCATATAAATGTATAGCTAGAGGGGTGTTCGGAGATTATTTTTCTGACTCCCTCATTTTACAGTGATGAAACTAAGAGCCAGAAAAATTCAAATTTAGCGAAGTATACACAGCCAACTAGTGAAACTTGAATTATTATTTCCTAATATCTAATCTTATATATAGGTATGAGATTGAGATTGATAGATGTGAAGATTATAACTATATTTGGAATTTCTCTTCACTTTTGTCTGCAACCCAGGTACACATCATGGTATGCAGTAGTATTGTTACACAACCCAGAACTGCCATACCCACTTCCAGCTCCCCATATCACATATGCACACATAATATATCGAGTAAAAGAAGCTCAGAGATCAACATTAGCATGCTGTTCATCTCTTAATATGGACAGCAGCCTAAGAAATCAGAGGACGTTTTGTTTCTAACATGATTTTGTCATATACAAGTGAAATAACTTTACTTATCTCTGTATCTATCTATCCATGCATTTTGTTTCATACTGGATTCTGGCAGTCTAACATTAAGCTGTGTTCTGCAGACCTAGTAATATTTATTTTACTCCCTAACAACTTTGTTTCCATTGAAATAATATTCAAAGGGAAAATTATTTTGAACATATATAAGAAATATCACTTTATGATTATTTCCCATAATAAAAATAATGGCTACTATTGAGCATCCTGCTAATTGCTTTGCATGTGTTATCTCATTCCATTTTCATATCATCACTTGGACACTATTATTATTATTATCTCCATTTTATAGATGGAGAAATGGCTTAAAGAGTTAAAATAAACTGAAATCAAAGGGAAGTGAGACGTGTTGGATGTAAATCTTATTCTTTCTGACTCCAGAGCCAGAACTCTTAATCACCATGTTATATTGCCTGCCTTCCACTGATGACTCCTGTTTTTAAAGGACTAAAAAGACACTTGTGCCCAAATATATACCAGCCCTGTTATTTGAAATCTGTGCAATTAGATTCTTTTCCTTTGGGGTAATGTTATATCCACCGAAACTTACTGTTAAATGATTAATCTAAGTCAGTTTCTAAGATTAATTATTGTCCTTTAACAAAGACACAGGAGAAAATTGTGAAAGGGATGCAATTAGATGAAGAGTATGGGTGCTGCCTGAAGAGATGAGGCCAGCTATGTGAAGCACTAATTAAAGCAAGAAATAAGAAAACAGGGCAATATAAGGGGTGCTTAAACATATCATCATTCTTCAGAAATTGCCTAGTATTAGCCTTGTTAAGAATTAATGTTTCTATTGACCACAAATTGATATGTAGAATCCATAGAATTACAATTAAATTCCCAACACAGTTTTCTGTGGAAGTTGAAAACAGATTGTTAAATTTACGTGGAAGAGAAAGAGGGCAAAAACCCAAGGTGTATCTGAGGAGGAAGTGAGGAGGATTTGTCTTACCAGATATGAAGCAATATTATAATGCAGTAATAATTAAAATAGTGAGGTGTTAGCATAGTTATAGACATATAGACCATTGGAGCCGGAGAGTAATCTCAGAAATAGATTCACAAACAAATGGAACTTAGTATGTGGTAGAGGTGACAATGCACATCAATGGAGAAAGATGGATTATTCAATTGATAAAACTCTGATATACAATTGATATCTAATTGATGTAATTGATAATATCAGTTATCCTTGAACAACTAATATCTCATTTAGTAAAAAATATGAATTAGAAATTCTACATCTTAATATGCACAATATCAACTGCAGGTGAATTGAAAATTTAACAATATAGGCAAAACTTTAAATCTTTTAGAAGAAGATGTAGAATCACATCTTTGTAACCGTGGACTAAGGAGTTTTTTTTAAAGTTTCAGAGATCAAGGATAATACATATAATGAAAGATCGATGCCTTCAGCTACATTAAACCAACAACAAAAACTTTGGGTCATTAAAGGACACACTGTACAAAGGTGAAAAAATAAGTCAAGAATTGGGAGAAAAAAATCAACATATATAATAGACAAAGGATTAGAATCCAAATTACATAAAAATTCCTAGAAATCAAGTGAGACAATCTAAACAAAAACATTGGCAATAGATATGAAGAGGACTTCCTCAGAAAAAAATTTCTGTGGAAAATAACACGGAAAAAATGTTAACCCTTATAAATAATTAGGGTGATCAGAACTCTTATTTCACAGTCACTAGATTGGATCATATTAAAAATTTTGACCAAGTGTGGGCAAGGATGTGGAGTAATGTGAACCCTTGTACTCAGCTGGTGGGAGTGTAAAATGGCACAATCACTTTGAAGAACAGTTTGGCAAGATTTAGTAAAAGAGAGGATGCATATAACTCTTTGACATCACAGTTTCCTATATATAAGGAGACATGTACACAAATGTTCACAGCTACATAATAGCAACATATTGAATAACCTAAATGTCCATCAACAGGAGAAAGGATAAATTGTGATATACACAGTGGGGCAATAGAGAAGTAGAAAAGAATGATTGAAACTACATATATTTAATTGAACCACATGAATTGTTTATATTCTTTCATCTTGAATTATAAAATTTAAATTTTATATGGTTCAACTTGATAATGGACAAATCTTATAATACTGAATGAAACAAGGGCAAGTTGTATATGTTTACATGCATTCAGATAACTTTTCTATCAATCCCAAAACATGCAAAGCTAAATATAAAGAAGAAAGAAATCATGAACACAAAAGTCAGGACAGCAGTTACCACGGGGGGGCTGAAAGGGTGATATATGATCAGGAAGAGGCACAAAATGGCTTTAAGACTGGTAACATTTTATTTCTTAAGCTGGGGAGTGGGCACTTGGGTGTTCATTTCATTGTTACTTATATATTCATATGTATATGTGAAGTATTTATACAAATGAAAATTGAGTATATGTTTTAAAATATTAAATTATTTTCTCTTATAGGTATGGAAAGATGCTGCCACTCAAATATTTTACTCCCTTTCAGTGGCTTGGGGTGGCTTAGTTGCTCTGTCATCTTACAACAAGTTCAATAACAACTGCTTCTCTGACGCCATTGTAGTTTGTTTGACAAACTGTCTCACTAGTGTGTTTGCTGGATTTGCTATATTTTCTATATTGGGACACATGGCTCATATATCTGGAAAGGAAGTCTCTCAAGTTGTAAAATCAGGTATATAATGCTATATATTATCAACTTTGATTAATTCAATATAGCTCACTTATGAAACTCTAATATAGTTTCCTGGAATTAAAACAATCATGATTCTTAGGGTATTATGTTTTCTTTTTCATTTTATCTTATATGATTTGGTTGTTTTAGTAATATAATTATTAGATGATCTGGATAAACAAGAGTATATTAGGGAACAATTACTTAAGGAGATAAAATGATCTAGATTTTGTTTAGTCCTTAATATGAACTACTTAGGCACAAATACAAGTTTCAGGCATCATGCAACCTCTTTCCATGCATTATAAGAGAAAGACAATGTATATATAAGTTATTCTGTATACAGTTACAGTATTGGGTCAGAATTTTTAAAACACATCAATATCATATCCATAGAGATTCAAGTGACTTTGAGTGTCTAGCTGTGTCTAGCTTTAAGGAATCCGATTAATGAACTTCCTAAAACTTTAAAGACATTAGGTAGGGATGCTTAATTATCTGGCTAAAGATTCTTAGGAAAAGAATCCTAGAGTTCTTTTAAGTAGAAATTCATTAAAATTTTATTTATAGTTAGTATCATTTGATAGACTGAATGATAACAGAATGT